ATTTGTAGTCTTTTGTCTCTTCTTAAGACAGTTCTAAACATACTCCTTGTGTGTGATGTCTGAGAAGTCTGTAAAATTAAAGCTACATAATCATGAATGCTATGAAAAAGGTTTTGACAACTCTGGGTGGTACTTAATTCAAGTGAAACTCCTCTCATTCAAAATAATAAGCACAATGTTGCTTATTATGTAAATGAAGTGGCATGGAAGATGCTTTTCATCCTGGTGCACTCACTGGGGATTAATACACACAAAAACCGAGTGGGGGTGTTCAACCTGGAAACTTGAATAAGAGTTGAGCAACAGGAATGACTCTAGAACTGCTCTGTCCAACTGGGGAACCAATAACCACATGAAGCTACTTAAATTTACATAAGTTAAAATGAACTAAAATTAAAATTAAAAGTTTTCCAGTCATATTCGCCATGATTCATGTGTTCAATAGCCACAGAAGAATGTCCCAGATATAGGACATTCCCATCGGGAAAAGTTCTATCAGACAGTGCTGCTAACCATGTGGGTATTAAAATAGAACTGGGGATGCATGACTCCTCTTACCAACTGGAACTTTATCCACAAGGGTTTGTAGAACCTCTCAGAATGGGTGTAGATGGGTAGATAGCCAAGAGTTGCAGGGGTTAGGGCCAGGTTGCTGCTGATTGAGTGCCACCTCCCCATCTCATGAGGATACCCCAGAGCCCAGGTCGGCAAACTGTGGCTCGTGAGCCACATGTGGCTCTTTGGCCCCTTGAGTGTGGCTCTTCCACAAAATACCACGTCCTGGGAGAGTCTATTTTGAAGAATTGGCGTTAGAGGAAGTTTAAGTTTAAAAAATGTGGCTCTCAAAAGGAATTTCAATAGTTGTACTGTTGATATTTGGCTCTGTTGACTAATGAGTTTGCTCACCACTGCCCCAGGGCTACCAGTATGCTTCTCAATCTTTAAATGTGTATGCCTATCACCTGGGGATCTCAGACTGCAGATATGGATGCCATAGGTCTGCTTTGGGCCTGACAGTCAGCAATCATACCTGACTCCCAGGTGAAGCTGCCGATGCTGTTTTGAGGACCACACTTGGGGAATTAATGATGTGCAGCACTGTTCCCCGATCTTGGCTCCACATAGTAATCACCTGGAGAGGTTTAAAAACTACTGATGTCTGTATCTCCCTGCAGATATTTGGATTTAATTTGCCTGAGGTGCAGTCTGGGCATTGAATATTTTAAAAAACTCCCCAAGTGATTGCTACTTGAGAACCACTGACGATGATAAAGCAAGTTTATGAAATCTGAGGACCAGAAGCACTGGCCTCACCTGGAAGTGTGTTAGTTAGAAATGCAGAGACTCAGGCCCAATCTGCATTTCCTCAACATTCCCCTGGCGAGTTCCTTTACATTGAAGGTGAGAACTGCTACTAGACAGATAGCCCTTTAAAGTAATAATTTATTGATTTATGTGTAAGCGTTTTCTAGAAATTCTTCAAAAGTGATAAGTTCTGCTAGTTCCTAAAAATATTAGGTCATATCATTGAGACCATACTTATGTCAAATCATTGAAGGTTTATTAGACTTGTCATTACACAGACACAAATTTGGCAGTTTCTGCTTGCATTGTCACAGAAGGTATCAAAAATCCCAGCATAAAAGTTAATGTTCAAGATAAAGCACTATTCCATTTTTAGGTTAATGCCTTTTGATTTTTTGAAAACTGTATGCTTCTCATTCATTACAGAGATTCCAACACAGATGCATTCTTAATTTATGTAAGTTTTCATTATGCAACACTAGATCCTGAGGCGAGGGGCGGGGGGTGATGGAGAGGAACTTTAATTTCTTCACACACACACACACACACACACACACACACACACACACAGTTTCTAAGATTGTATTTTCCAAGTAAGTCTCTCTGAGCATTTATTTTAGGGGAACAGTCCAAAATATAAGCCAAAGAGTATGTGATGGGACAGAGCAGTGCTTCTCAAGCTCGAATGTGATTGAAAGCACTTGCAGCCCTTGTTAAAATGTAGACTCTGAGGAATGAAGTCTGGGGTGAGGTCTGAGACTGTATTTCTGCAATACAAGTGCTGTGATGCTATTGGTCCATTGACCCTATTTTGAGTGAGCTGACTCTTCCAGGACACCTTTGTGTAAACACTCATCTAAGTGGCTCAAAAAAGAGGAAGGGTGATTTTCTTGAAAGTGCTGATTTGTTCATTGGAATCACCTAAACCATGGACACCAAAAGGTCAAAATTATTCACAGACCCGTCATTAATTGAAAGCTAATTGGGAAATGAAGTGATTTAAGGCAAAAGCAAACCAGTAACACAAATACCTCAAATGACTACTGGGGCAAAATTTTGAAAAATGTTGCAAGCTGTCTGCATGCTTGAAGTAGCAATTTGCATGCATAATTAGGTGCAATCAACAGTTTTGAAATGTAATATATTTTCTGAGCCCATATTTACTTATGGCAGATGCAAAAAAAAAAAAAAAAAATTCAGTGTCCCCTAAAAATAGAAGGGCAGAGAAAGGAAAAAAAAAATTATTTAACAATGGGAATTTTTACAAGCACATGCCTAAATTTAGAACAAATATAGCTGAAGCATTGCATCTTTATTTTGATTTAATCTTCATTCAAACTTTAAGTTCACAAACACATTTTGGAAGTTACAAGCATGGGAAAATGGTGAGTTACCAGTCAGCTGGTTCCAGCTCCTGTGGAAACTGACATGTAATTTTTATTCCTACAGGGTAGAAAGAAAATCTGTCAAATTCAAAACTTTTTTGGGCAAAACACTATTGACTTTCTTTCTGCCTTCAGAAGCTTCATTCTTTGAAGATGCCAAGTATCTTTTAGAATAATTTATATGAAACGATTAATTAAGCTGGCAATTTCTTTTTCCTAAATCCAGGTCCTCAGATGAGTGCTCATGTGAAGCTGTATTTTCTTACTGTTTTCAGCGTAGCAGGTAGTGACTGTTGAGAACTCACTATGCACTAGGGTACTTTGCTAAGCCCTTTATACAGATAATCTAATTTACCGTTATAAAAATACTATAAGAATTGATTTAGTACAATGTACTGAGGAGGAACTAGAGATCAAGTAACTTCTTTAAAAGCACCTATCTCTATTATTTGTTTTCTGGCTGGTACATTACTGCATAAACATAAAGGGTCATCATGTTATTTTAAAAGTGTAGACTTTGACAGTGAGCTTGGAGTCTAGTTTTTTTTTTTTTTTTTTTTTTAGAAAATCTGAAGAAAAAGCAACTGAGCAACTCCATCCCCAAACTTTTTTTTTCTTTCTAAAAGCATGTTCACATTGCATTATCCAGATTGGCTGTCTATGCATTAAAGTGGCAATTAATTTCTGTCATACAGGCAGAGTGAGAGATTGCATTGAAGGACAAGACCTAATGATGTGTTCTTGTGTGACTGCATTTATTGGGTTTGGGTGTGTGTGTGTGTGTGTGTGTGTGTATCTTGATGTGTAAAAGTTGTACATTCATGCAAAGCAATGAACAATGCAATTTTTTAGTTTCATCAGGCAAGTGTTACCTGTGATACACTGTGTGCCAGGGGGAAAACAGCCACCCTCTGCTAAGAGATGCATGAATTGTTCATTTATCTCCTGATCCATTTGGGGGCATTATGGAACTCCAAGCCCAGAACAATAGGCTTTACTTAATACTGAACAGGTTCTCAGTAACTCGCTCTTCCTCTCCGTGGCTGTCAGGAGGTTTTTCCAGGACAGGCAGAGTTGCAGTAACGGTTCCCCTGAAGTTGGAAGAGACTCCTCCCAGACCCAGCGGTGTTAAATTTAGAAGTCATCCCCATCACCTGACTGTCAGTGAGCCCCGATTTCAGAATCTCCAAGTCTCCCTCTGCCATCACTGTATAGATCTGTATTTATAGACACGGCTCACTGTCTGGCTTGGGGTCACCTCGGGAACCTCCCGGAGACCCGGCCTGCTGAGGACGCCCTGCCAGCCCCTGAGAGCTGAGAGCTGGCCACTCCGGGGAGCATCAGCGCCCGGCTGGCGCCCACCCCGGGGGCCATTGCAGTAAATAAATGCCTGGCGGTGACTTCTTGCTTTTTCCTCCGCCTCCCCCCATCTATCGACCCTCCACTGCCAACCTTGACGCCAAACTCGGGCGCGCTGCGAGGCTCGCGTCCACGCCATCCAGCCCCGCGGGGCCCCACCCCTTCCTGGCTCCAGCCCGCGTCGGGGCAGGAGGTGAGGGCAGGTCGATTTCCTGCGGGGACTGGACGGCTCGCCCCTCTGGGCTCCGGTGGTGGTGCGGGGCTGCGAGGAGCAGACGGAGGAGCGGGGGGAGCCCCGATCCCACACGCGCGCACCGGAGGGGCTGACCCCGGACGCGCTCGGAGGCCGGGAGGGAGGCAGACCAGGGCCAGCGTGGAGGTGGAGGTCGCCTGCGGCGGGGGGTGAGCGCACCGGTCCCCAGCCCTCCGTATGTGTGCTCTTCTTCCAAAACCCTCGCCGCCGCCGCCACCTCGCCCAGGTCGGAGGGAGGACCCCCTTTCCTCGGCCCCTTTGCATCGGGGAGAGGGCAAAGGTGAGGGGCTGGCGCTCGGCCAGCGGGCGGGGACGGCGGACTGCACCTGCACCTGACATTCCCCATCGCTGCCTGCCTCGCCTGGCCGAACCCGCCCATCTGGGTTGCTCTTCCCGCAACTTTGTTCGGAAGGTTGGAAGGGAAGGCAGACGCCCAGAGGTCCCCGGAGAGAGACTGGGGAGCGGCGAGGACCGGGAGGCCAGGCTGGAGGGCAGGTCCCCGGGTGCCCCCGGGCCGGGCGCGCGGCGGGGAGGATGCGCTCCGCTTAGCGGGGCCGCCGGGGGCGCCTGAAGGCCGCCGCTCCAAGGACACCGGCCGCCCGCCCACCCGCGCTCCACCGCCCGGGCGCCGCCGGAGCTGGAGCGGGGCCGGGGCCGGGGCCGGGGCCGGAGCCGGAGCCGAGCCGGCGAGCGGAGCGGCGGGGAGCGAAGGGCGGCGGGGGGGAGGGCGGGCGCGCGGGAGGGAGGCGGCCCCTCCTCGGCGGAGCCATGCGTGCCACTGGCAGCTGAGAGCCGCCGCCGCCGCCAAGTCTCCGCTCCGCTTTTGTCTTGCCCTCCAGTGAATGGGAAGATGGAGATGGATGTGGAGGGACTTTCTCCGCGCCCGGAGCCCATCCCCCGGCCCCAGGGGGCTGGCGGAGCCTGCCAGGCGCCGCCACAGCCGCCCCAGCCCCAGCCCCAGCCCCAGCCGCAGCTGCTGGCTCAGGATGAACTGCCCGGAGGAGGAGGTGAGAGTGCGGGACCCGAGGACAGCGACGACCCCGAGGCGAGACCCCACGGCAGCAGCGAGAGAGGAGAGAGCAAGGTAGGTCCACCGTGTTGGCGCTGTGACACCTTTGGAACAAAACCGAGGAGCTCGAGGAGCTCGAATAGCGGCTGTCACTTTAAACCCTCTGCTCCCCCCCCCCCGCCCCCTCCCCTCGGTTGTGTGGCGGCGGGGGCTGCAGCCGCGGGGGGGAAGGCGTGCGATGGAAGGGGATCGCTGGGTGATAGTGACTTTCTGAACTGGAAGGCTTGAGTCCAAGTCTGCCCTGGTTTCCCCAGTGAGCGGTGTGTGCAGGCAAAAGTCTCCTGGTTCGTGCGATGTGATGCGAGGGCAGAGCCCACATCCTGGGAGAGCAGTGCCCAGAGACCTCTGCTTCCGCCCCGTTGACCGAGCTGATGTGGACGATGTAGGTCAGGGGGGAAACACATGTCTTTGGGGAGTTGGCCAGGTGGCTTCTGAGACTCCTCGGAAGAATGTGACATCAACCTGTAAAGATGACAACAATGGGAGCAAAGTTTGGCTCCTTTGTAGAATGCAGATCACTGCTGAACCCAGCTCCAAACTCCTCACCCTGCAGGCAGGGCACCCTCCTGCCTCGGAGGGTGGGGGACCCAGTGCCTGGCAGCAGGTGAGCCCTGCTGTGTCATTGTAGACTAAGGGGGACAGCTGGTACTTCCTGTGCAGAGAGAGTTCCCCTGGGTCACTGGATCCCAGTAAGAGATGGTTCAGATGCTATGCTCTGGTGCTGGTGCTCCTCCGCTGGAGGAAATTGTCAAGTCGATGCAATGCCTTGGGAAAAGAATGCTTTGGTGACGTGATGAGAGTGTGTTTATTACAGCTTTGCGTCCACGTACAGTCTTGCTTCTCCATACAAACTCGGAGTTCAGTTTTGTGGGAGCTAGTGTTCAGCTGTGTCTGTATAAAGTGTACACATGTGTTTGTTGATGCATTTTGAAACGTGCTGCTAAGGTCGGGGAAAAGTTGGTTCAACAAATCAGAACATTGGAACCAAAGAAGGGTCTGTCAACAGACCTCCCTTTTGCTCGCTTAAGGGAGAGCATACAAGCACATACAGAATCACTTCTCCCACCTAGGAAAGAACCGCGTGTCAGGAGATGTCCCTCGTAGGCGATTGCCTCGGTCTACTGGTTCTTCTGAGAGAGGTACTAGTGGACTAAGCATGTGGGAATCGCATCGAATGTTGTTGTTCTGTATTTGGAGACAGGCTCACTTAACAAGTGGGTATTTGCAAATGTTCAAACTGTTTTTTTGTGAATTGAAACTGAGCTAAGGACTGAGATTGTTGTTTATCTACCAAAATCAATATTGTAATTTTAATGGCAGCCTACCAAGGAACTGGAATTTCAACATGTTCTAGACCTGACCGGATGCCTTATGAATGCATACAAGATTTACATTGTAAAAGCTATGATGAATTTTAATATTCTGATATCCTCAGCTTTCCCAGTCGCTCCTGATTTCATGAATATTTAATTCTGTCATGACTGCATATTTACTACTTTAAGTGACTGTCTGTGCTCAGTTTTAGGAAATAACCATAACTGAGCATCATATTACCTAATTGGACGATAAGTCTCCTTTGCAAAGTAGGTGTGGGGGATAATTAAAATATACAGCCAGCACTGCTATTTCCGTAATGTTGGTTCATATGCCCTGAGCAGGAGAAATTCCTGCCATCAGCAAAAATCTGTGCTTATTTGTTTCCCTTGGATGCACCATGCAGACTATCTAATGTTCTTCGGGTGGTGAGGAATAAGGAAGGCGATGCACTACAGATATTACAGCAGGTGAAGGGAGGACTGAAAGCCGGTTGATTACAGTTCGTTAATTAGCATGTTCAGATAATTGAGTATTCCACTGATGTGATTTGCTTTATGTTTGTCTGCAATTTCTTGAGGTGGAGACAAAATACTACTTTTTCCCCTCCAGGTGTTTGCCTTAGAAAATGATCTTGCATCCCTCCCTTAACCCAGAAATCAGCTGTGCTTAACCTTTTCTTTGCTTGTCTCTGGTTTGCTCCTGCTGGTTCTTCTAAGAGTTTGATGGTGATTACTGTGTTTTGGACTTTTAATAACTCCTTTTGTCTTGGATGGGTACTAAGGCAGGTGATACACTGATGTTCTTCAGGAGTTGCTGGCTTCATTACCAGGGAGGCCTTTGGGTGTCTAACCAAATTAAAAAACTAAAATATAAATGGGAGACAAATTGGGATAAAGTGAAATGTGGTTTTACCAAGCTGGTTGGGGTGAGGTAGAGAGATTATCACCATTGGATTTCAACATAGCAATGTAGGAATGCGATGTATTGAACCATTATATTCTTTTCACTCATGAGAGTAAAGTAACATAAATTTTGAATACTGCATTATTTGTCTTAAGTCTTCCCCAAGCAGGATACTGTAAACAGGATGTCAGTGGATACGAATACCCTTTCCTATTGCAAGTGTCAGGGGGGTAATGGCATTTATTTACTTAATTTTTCTGACTCGGGTTTGGGGCCATGATTTATCTTCTTGTGAATTTATCCCAGTTGTCTTATTGGAAAAGAAATCAGAGCTTAGTGCCCGATGCACTTGTCTCCTGCATCGCAGGTTCACGGTCATACGTCTTCAGAAAGTCTCTGAAATAGGAAGAAAGATTAGAAAACTGGATCAGTCAGGGGATTTTTTTATGCCAGAGTTTTGTGACATGACTGGCACTTTCTGTTCTTAGAATAACGAGGCCCAATTCCTCTCTAGCAAGTACTCTTCAGAGATACATTAAAGCAGCCACATGCTGTGTACGAGGTGTACCAGTTAGTAATGCGGATTGTTTTCAATAGATGGGGTTACACATATGTTGATATATATGCGATTTGATATGAATGCTATTTTGTTGTATTGACAGCAAGCTTTAAAACTTCATATGTCATTGACCCGGTAAAGGGTCAAACCGCATTATTAGCCAATGTCCAGTTTTAACCCGTAAAGGGTCAGTCAGAATTTTTAACCGGTACTGGTTAATAATGCGGATTTTGTAATCAAATTGAACATGATTATTTCAAGAGAAATATCAAAAGGGCTTTAGTCAAAGTAATGTCCAGCACTAATTACACATTTCCCCCATCTTTCAGGTAATGTGTGGATACCGTCCCAATAGAACTTTTCTTGTTTTGAGGCAGACCAGTCAGAGACTCAATTTTCCACTTCTTTGTACGTTTTGAAGTGCTGCTCAGAAAGTGTGTGTGCTAGACCAAGTAGTAATCTGAAGGAGTAAAGTCTGATGAATACGACGGGTAGGTTAATAATTCCCAGGCAAGATCTTTTAACGTGTCTTTAACTGGTTTTGAAGTGTGTGATGATGCGTTATCATGAAACAAAATTACTTTGCCATGTCTTCTGGTCCATTCTGGTTTTTTAACAATCAAAGCATGGTTCAAATTGATTGTTTGTTGTTGGTAGCGATCGGTATTAATTGGTTTCACCTGGTTTTGGAAGCTCACTACACCAGTGTTTCCCAACCTTCTCTCATGATGAGAATCACCTGGTGGAGTTGTTAAAACACAGATTCCCGGATCCCAACTAAGAAGTGCTAAACTAGAATTTTTGGGAACATATAGGTAAAATTGTATACTTAACTAGTGCTCTAAGACAGATTTTATATACAGAGCACTAAGTTAGGTATGCAATTTTACCTATATGTTCTCAAAAATTCTAGTTTAGCACTTCTTAGTTGGGATCCGGGAATCTGTGTTTTAACAACTCCACCAGGTGATTCTCATCATGAGAGAAGGTTGGGAAACACTGCACTACACCACACCTTCCTGATCCCACCAAACGCAGAACATTGTCTTCTTTCCCAAGCGATTTGGCCTTGCAGTCAATGTTGATGGTTGACCTTGATCAACCCATGATTTTGTGCATTTGAGATTCTCAAAATAAATCTATTCATTGCCAGCCACAATTCTATGCAAAAAATACTTTCTTTCATGCCGTTGAAGCAACATTTTACTGATGACTTTTCGGTTTTCCATTTGTCTTTCAGGCAGTTGATGTGGCACCCATTTTCTTTCCTTTAAAATCTTTCCCATTGCTTGTAAATGATTGGAAATTGTTTGCTGAGCAACGTTTAATCTTTCTGCAAGTTGTTTCTGAGTTTGACATCCATTTTCATCCAATTATGCTTATAATTGTTGGTCTTCAAACTTTTTTGGTTGACCTGGACTTCCTTTGTCTTTCACATTGAAATTATCACCTTTAAAGCGATTAAACTAGCTTTTGCAGGAATCTTGAGATGGAGCATGTTCACCATCAGCTTCCTGAAGCATACGATAACTTTCAGCAGTACTTTTCTTCAAAATAATGAATTAAAACTTACCGCAAATGCTCTTTTTTGTTGGCATGAAATTCAACATTTTTAAGGCGTAAAAATATCTTATGATGTTAACCCCTTCAGAAAATGTGACACATGAAGTTTTGAAACTTGTCAATACAACAAAATAGCATACATATAAATATATGTGTAACTCCATCTGTTGAAAAAAAATTTGGCCGAAACCGGTTTGGCTTAATGGATAGAGCGTTGGCTTGGGGACTGAATGGTCCTGGGTTCGATTCTGGTCAAGGGAATGTACCTTGGTTGCGGGCATATCCCCGGTGGGGGGTGTGCAAGAGGCAGCTGATCGATGACTCTCTCTCATTGATGTTTCCAACTCTCTATCTCTCTCCCTTCCTCTCTGTACAAAATCAATAAAATATATTTAAAAGAAAAAAAAAAAGAAAAAAAAATTCGCATTATTAACTGGTACACCTAGTATGCTGTAATTCTACGAACTGAGAAGATCTATAATCTGTAATTTGTTCATCCTCTGCACTTTAAGGCCGGTTTATATTAAACCCTTATGCAAGCAATCTCCTGATCTTGCAATGACACCCAAAGATAGTGTGTCACCCCTTGGGGCACCTCAGGGGATATTTCCTCACCCATTACCTCAGGAACGCCTTCTTCACACCTGAAAAGAGGTTGTCTACACTGGACAAA